CGGGGGGCTGCAGGAGGGGGATGTGTGGGCAGCTCCTGTCCAGATGGAATGAGTAACAGGCGAACCAGGATGTGGTTTTGATTGTGCACACCCCGTATTTGGGGTTTGGGCAGGTCCTGGCACCCTTCCTGTCTTGAAGACAAGTGGGTAGAATGGCCATTGGCTCCTCTGAGGACACTGGGGTGCGAGGACTTGGTGGGAGGAGCCTGGGCCCAGCTGCACCGGGAGCCCTTGGCTTTGGGGTGGTCACTGGAGACCCGTGCCCTGTCCCCTGCAGGCACCTGCTGGAGGCTCACTGCACCCCTGGGCTGTCCACCAGGGTGTTTCTTTTCTCTGCAGTGGGCTCCAGGAGCCGTGTTTGCAGTGCATTCTCGGCCCTGGCGGCTCGGTGGCCTCTGCTTACCTGCTGGTGGACGGGGTGGGAGACTGGGCTGAGCGTGCTTGCGGCTGCGGCCACTGAGGACTTTACTGGGCCACTCCGCTTCTTGGCTCTGTCCTGTGTCTCCTCCCCTGCTGACCAAATGGTCCTGGGGGCTGCCTGGTCTTCTGGGGTCAGCCTAGGGGGTTGGCTGGCCAGACCCTGGCTCCAGCTCTGCCTTTTCCCAGCTGCCGTAGGGCTGACGGTGGCCCCACCTGGTGCCCCTTTCCTGGCACAGGGTGGTTGGGTGGTGCCTGGAAGCCGCCGTGCTTCCGTGACACCTCAGAGCCCCTGTTTCTCCATGTGGCCTCGAATGAAGCTTAGTTGTATCACACGTGAAAGGAATGGGTGTTAGTGGTTTTTAACCAGCTCATTCCGGGAAGGTAGGGGCACAGTGGACTTTAATAGGTTTTAATCCTTTTCTTCTATTGCTCTGTTTCTTGTCTTTTCAAATTTACAAATGGAAGCAATGCCAGGCAGAGTGGAGCGTTCTGTGTGAAATATTGGTGACCCCATCGGGGATTCCAGCAGCCACGCGGTAGCCCAGGCGGAAAAGGGCAGCTGTGTTACTAAAGCCCCGTGCTACAATCTGTGCTCTCCAGTGTGACGGGTCCCTCCTGTCCCCCCCGCCTTATGCAGCTGCACTGGGGTCTCAGGGGATCTCGGAGGGTATGGGGGGGTCCTGGGGAGTCTCAGACAGGTCTTGGAGGGGTCTCAGAGGGCCTTGGGGGTCGGGAGCCCCTGCGCCTGAGGGCAGTGGTGGGTGTCAGCGAGCTGAGGCACACACAAGTCTGTCTTTCCTGTGGATTTTTAATTCACTTTTTACAAATACCACAACATTTAGAATGGAAAGCCCTCATTGGCCCGTGCACAGTGGGCGGTGTGGAGCAGGTTGTGGCCACGGGGCCGTGGTGGTGCAAGACTGAGCACTTGCTTCTGTCTTACAGGTGTCCGACCTCCGATCATGAACGGGCCCCTGCACCCGCGGCCCCTGGTGGCACTGCTGGATGGCCGGGACTGCACGGTGGAGATGCCTATCCTGAAGGACGTGGCCACTGTGGCCTTCTGTGACGCTCAGTCCACGCAGGAGATCCACGAGAAGGTACTACCACGTACTGTCCTGGGGCTGCCAGGGCCGCATGCTGGAGGGGAGTGGAGAGGGATGGGAGCATGGGCTGCAGCAGGTCTGGATGCCACTGGGACAGGTGCGGCCTCCGTCCCTTTCGCCCTGCCCCATTAGGAGATGGACACAGGGTTTCGCCTGTAGCTTCTGGATTCATTTTCAGTTTTCTCCCAGAGAGCAGGTCCTCAGGACGCTGCCTTTGTTGCGGGGCCAGAGTGAATTGCTTCCCCTGGCCCCAGGCGCACAGCGGTCTTTGCAAAGGCATGGGTGGTCTTGGCATTGCCCAGGACCCAGCTGTGGTCCAGGAGTGGGCAGCCTTCGGGCAGCTTTCCTGAGTCATGTTTGCTCAGGAGATCCACGGGCTCCTCCGTGATGAGAAATGGGTCGGTCTGCTTTTACTTGTAGCCAGGGGCCAGTGATTCAGAGCAGCTTTTCCCTGAAGACAGACAAAGAAGCTGGGTCCTCAGGAACTAACAGGACAGACTACAGTTGCCCAGGCTGCAATCCAGACAAGCCCAGAATCTGCAGGAACAGACGGGTCCTGCCAGTTCTGGCCTGGGGTGTTGGCTCTTCTCGAAGAAGTGGCTGAGGGGTTGAATTTGTCTTTGGCGGCATCACTGGCCTGCAGGGTGTGGGGCCTGCTGGGATATCCATGGCCTGGAAGGTAACACCTGCAGTGAGGGTGACCTGGACTCTGACGTGCTACACGGTGGGCATCCAGCCTGCCAACATCTGGGGAAACTTGAGCCTGGATTTTAGGGGACCCCACACTGCCTGGCGCCAGGTGCCTGGCAGGAAGAAATGGGACAGCTCCTTCAGTGGAACATAGCATCAGCCTAGGCCTCAGTTCATTTCTACAAATCATTGCTTGACACGGGGTCCATCAGATGGAAAAGCCAGGAAAGGCGGTGCGGGTCCACCAGAGCTCCCTGAGCTGACCACGGCACGGTGACCCCAGCACAGCCCTCAGGAGGAGGCCGGGCCAGACACAGACGAGGAGCTGCTGACCCTAAAACAGGGTGTAGCGCCTCAGAGGAGAAAGTGAGTCGTGGATCTGAGAAACACCGAAGCTGAATGGGAGAACAGCGGGGCGGGTTTAGCAGCCAGCCGTGCAGTGCGGACAGGAGGGTGAGATGAGAAGCCACCCTCACAGACGCTTCCGGGCAAGAGAGGGGAGGGGCTGGAAGTGATAACAGCAGAAGCATTTCCAAAGGGAATGTGGTGCTAAAGATTGGCATGTTTCCTGGTTTCTTACGCAGTTAGATGCTCGCCTGTAATGCAGCCCAGCGGCCACACTCCTTAATCGCAGAGGCTTGGAATGCACGTCCGTGGGCAGACCTGCACGTCATGCTCTTTGGCAGCTTTAACTCATGATAGCCCAAACCAGGACGCCCCCGGCTGCCCTTTGGCAGGTCAGTGGCCAGGCAGATGCTGGTCACCTCCCTTGGCGTCCTCAGCAACAGGCAGGGTGATCTCGGCAGCGTGATGGCGAGTGAAGAGATGGTTTCAAGGGCTGCGTGCTATCTGATCTCTTCATCCTCAGGTGGAGGCATCAGCATGACGGAAACCATTGCCAGGGTGCGGGTGGGGAGCCGCCAGTGGGCCAGTGTGCCAGAAGCTGCACGTGAGCACATCACACGGATGTGTAAGGCCACGGTGTACACTTGAGGAGTCACGTGGTACCAACCCGGTTTTGACAGTGCCCTGTTAGGTACAGTTTTCTCATTGGGAAGCTGGGTGTGCATTAAAGATAGACACGTATGGAATGGAAAAAGAGGCACATAGTAAACTTGGAAAATCGTAAGTCATACTAAAACAAGATTTGCCAACAAATTGGAAAACTAAGGCAAAACAGAGTTTTTCTAAAATTGCAGTAATCCCAGACTGCCTGGACAGGTTTGTATAAAATGCAAATCAGTGGGCCGCCCCTGGTCGGGGTGGGGCCGGCGTGGTCCCTGGTGGGAGACGGACTCCCTGCTCCCCACCCAGAACATACAGCCCAGGCAGAGAAAGGACACGGTAAATACACAGAAAACCGCCCCAGGGGATGCAGCAGTGTTCTTGGAAGAGACGGGAGTGTTGGGAATCGTCTTGGCATCCTGGAGGGGCCTGAAGCAGCCCCTAACCAGAAGCAGAGCAGGTGCCGCTGAAAGGAGCCCCAGAGAACTAGGAGAACTTGAAATTAAAAACACAAGTGAAAATCTAGTAAGAACAGGAAGCTTAAAGACAGGGAAATTGCAGAAGCCAGAGATGGGAAGAGAGGCCGTGGCACCCTGGGACTGCATCCAGACATGGGAAGAGAAGCCGTGGTCTTCCGGGGCTGCGTGTCCAGAGATGGGAAGAGAGGCCTCGGCACCCCGGGGCTGCGTGTCCAGAGATGGAAAGAGAGGCCTCGGCACCGCAGGGCTGTGTCCAGATATGGGAAGAGAGGCCTCGGCACCCCGGGGCTGCGTGTCCAGAGATGGGAAGAAGCCATGGCACCCTGGGACTGCATCCAGACATGGGAAGAGAAGCCGTGGTCTTCCGGGGCTGCGTGTCCAGAGATGGGAAGAGAGGCCTCGGCACCCCAGGGCTGTGTCCAGACACGGGAAGAGAAGCTGTCGTCTCCCAGGACTGTGTGTCCAGACATGGGAAGAGAGGCCTCGGCCCCCCGGGGCTGCGTGTCCAGAGATGGGAAGAGAGGCCTCGGCACCCTAGGGCTGCATGTCCAGAGATGGGAAGAGAGGCCTCGGCACCCCAGGGCTGTGTGTCCAGAGATGGGAAGAGAGGCCTCGGCACCCCAGGGCTGCGTGTCCAGAGATGGGAAGAGAGGCCTCGGCACCCCAGGGCTGTGTCCAGAGATGGGAAGAGAGGCCGTGGCACCCTGGGACTGCATCCAGACATGGGAAGAGAAGCCATGGTCTTCCGGGGCTGCATGTCCAGAGATGGGAAGAGAGGCCTCGGCACCCCAGGGCTGCGTCCAGACACGGGAAGAGAAGCTGTCGTCTCCCAGGACTGTGTGTCCAGACATGGGAAGAGAGGCCTCGGCACCCCAGGGCTGCGTGTCCAGAGATGGGAAGAGAGGTCGTGGCCCCCCGGGGCTGCGTGTCCAGAGATAGGAAGAGAGGCTGTGGCACCCCAGGGCTGCATGTCCAGAGATGTGAGTCTTCAGGGCTGCCTGGGTGCTGAGTCTGTGTGTCACAGCCTGTGGTCCTGCAGGAGGACTTGGCTGCCCATGCTTTCTTGCCCCTAGGGGTGGCCAGAGGACAAGCTCCGCACACAGTGGAGTGGGGCTTCTCCCTGCCGTCCCCTCCCTGTCCCTGCTGGCTGGAAACCAGCTGCGATGGGTGGAGCCTGGGTAGCCACCCTGGACCGTGAGGGGAGCCGCGTGTTGGGAACCATGGAGCAAGGAGACTGGAGGCAGGGACCCTTGTGACTGTGGAGAGGGCAGTGGGCCCACAGTCCGCCTCTCTCCAGGCTGTGGCGTGGGAGGAAACTGAAGGCCTGCTTCGTGTGTCACTGTTGGTCAGGAATTTCTCCTCCTGGGGCAGAAGCTTCCCACGCAGCTGGTTGGACGTCGCCACTGTCTTAATGCTGTGGAGGGAGAGAATGTGATGCCGTCAGTGCAGTCATAGGAAGAACAAGAATGTCGGGGCCTGGGAGGCACCCTGCTGTTCAGGTTCAGGATTTTACTGATATCAGGGTGGGGGATGTCACCCACCAGGACACAGACTCAGCCCAACGCTGCACATCTGATGGAACTGCTGAGCAAGGAGGAGGAAGCCCTGCTCCTTGGGAGCCAGGAGGCTGCATCCGGTGCAGGCTGTGGGGCCTGGAGTGGCAGGGTGGCTATGGGAGGGCACAGGACGCAGGGGCCCCTGAGGACTTGCAATCAGCTGGACAGCTGTGCTTCTGCAAGACGAGTATCTCCAGGCTTCGGGGGTGGGTAGGTCGCTGGGAAGCCCTCACTGGACAGAGGTGCTGGGGCTGGGCAGGAAATGAAGCTATAGAAATCCAGGAAAAGCACAAAAGCTGGCATTGTCAGGGCGGAGGCGTGCAGGACCGTCCTAGAGCCCCTCAGTCTTGGAGGCGGCCAGCAGAGACAGGCTGCCGTGGGTCTGACCTTAATATTGGGTCACAGTCTCTTCTAGGACCACGAGGATAGAGGCCACACCACTGGGTGCAGGGGCTGTTTCCAGGCAGACTGACCAGTGCCCGGCCAAGCCTCTGATCTAGTGTGGCCCCCGCAGGGCGTGTCCAGGACCCACTCTCAGGTCTAGAAGAACCAGCTGGGTAGTGTTGGTTCCACCAAGAGTGGCAAGACAGAGGACCAGAGATAGCCCCCCGCAGTGGGACCCAAGGACACGGGCAGTGGCTTTTTAGATGTGTGGGCCAGGGACTGGGGAGCCGGTGACTTCTGGGCCCCTGGGTGGCCGTTCAGGAACGGCAGCGGCTCCTGGACTGCAGATGCTCGCTGCCTACATAAGCCGCCACTGTGTGAATGCAGAGCGTTAGAGGAACGTTTGAAAGAGAATGTTTACTCCCTGAGGTTATGGCAACGCAGAAAGTACGTTTTCTGTAGAAAATGTGATACTACAGAGGTAAAGGTCACTTTGATTAAATGGCAGTTAGAAATAACACGCAAGGCTGGGTGCAGCGGCTGACGCCTGTAATCCCAGCACTTCAGGAGGCCGAGGCGGGTAGATCACCTGAGGTCAGGAGTTCAAGACCTGCCTGGGCAACACAGTGAAACCTTGTCTCTACTAAAAATACAAAAATTAGCTGGGCATGGTGATGGGTGCCTATAGTCCCAGCTACTGAGGAGGCTGAGGCAGGAGAATTGCTTGAACCCAAGAAGCAGAGGCTGCAGTGAGCCGAGATCGTGCCACTGCACTCTATCCCGTGCAACAGAGCGAGACTGTGTTCCAGAAAGAAAAGAAAGAATGACGTAGCAAAATAGATTTAAAAACAAAAACAGGTGACAGATAGGGGTTTGGGTATTTTCAATTTGTGTGCCAGCCTAAGGGTGAATGTCTGACATACTCAGCAGTGCGGGGGCCAAGCCTGTAATCCCAGTGTATCCGGAAGCTGAGGCTAGAGGGTCGCTTGAGCCTAGGAGGTCACGGCTGTAGCAGGCCGTGATTACACCACTGCAGTCCAGCAAGACCCTGTTTGTAAAACAAACAAGTGAAAAGTTTATATATTCAAAGACTTCTTCCAATCAGGAAACGGAAAAATCCCCGTAGAAAATGGATGAGGGTGGTGAGAACCGGGGTGCCCTTCCCAGGTTCTCACGGGTGCAGCAGTCACCGCCGGTAACCACTGGCCTGGCCTGCGCCCAGCCCTGCACCAGCCATGCCCAGGGAGCCTGATCCTATTCCTTCATATGGAATAGAAAGGGCTGAGCCAGTCTGCTCTGGCAGTCTGTGGAAATCTGAAGCCTGCGGTCTTCAGCCCAGCCCCACCCTGGGCCTGCATGTGGCTGCGCGTCATAGAGAAACTTCTGCCCTGATGGTGACCTGAGTGAGCAGCAGTGTCACAGAATAAGCCACACCTGTGTATAAGGTCCGGAAAGGTAAGTGCGACCTACCTGAGTCCTGAGCACAGGAGAAGCAGGTGGCGGAACTCCATGACAGGAGGTGGGTGTGGCAGGCCCCTTCCTGACCCCGTGAGAATCGGCTCCCACCAGGAGCACCGTGGGGTCTGTTTCCCGCCCAGTAGCAGTGAGCTTGGGCACCCGGCTTTCCCCAGGCCTGCTCTGAGCACCAGAGGTGAAGGCACCAAGCAGAGTGGGGCTGAGTCCCTGGTGGTGGAGGGGACACATCTGTGGGTTGGCTGAGGCTGGCTTCTGGGAGGCCGCTGCGTCCTGATCTAAAGGGGCAGGTCTGACTGCACCCACCCCCTGCAGACTTCCTCCATGGGAGACCGATGCCATGGCCAGGGGTGGAGCAGTGTGAGGGGGAAAGGAAGGTAGATCCCGAGGCTGACAGCAGCTGCAGCGCCCTGGCCTGCGGACCTGTGGGTGACGTGGCCACCACAGGGTGACGCCCACACTGGCGGCTCTGGCCTTGCAGCTGTGCACAGGCCAGTCTGGTATGTGGTAGAGATTGGGGCACGGGGCCTCCATGCCATGTTCAGATTCCTGTTGTGCGAATGCACTCACCCAGCACTGCGTTGTTAAAAATACGTTCATTAGGGAAAAGGGCAAGGGCCTGAAAAAAGGGTACCAAGAAACGTGTCCGGGCAAGTTACTAAAGCTACTTGGGGAGGCTGCTTGCTTTTCACCGCTCAGCCATCTTCAACTGCTGCAGCTGGGTGGGGGCGCCCTGGGCCCGCAGGAGGGTCCTTGGCCGACATGTTTCCGCTCCACAAAACTTATCTCGATGAGAGAAACAAACTTTCATCATGGAAGAGTCAATGCGGGAAGCTACCTGAAAGCTTCGCAGTAGGGGTATTCACATGAATCTGACCTGATTATGCGGGAGGTGACATGCTGCAGTTTAGAATCGACTTTTCCAAGCCCGTGGCTGAATGCTCAGGGTGAAAGCAAGCCAGTGCCTGTGTACACACAAGCCTGTCCTGTGCACTGCGGGTCTTTCCAGCCGTTCACACAGCCTCTGCACACATGGCGGGAGGGGCCCCTGTACATCCAGCTGCACAGGCTGGCCCCCCGGGCTGATGACTGACCCCAGGGCCTTCCTGACCCCAGGGCCCATCTCCAACACGCCACTGCTGTTCACATGTGCAGCCCTTCCTGCCCACAGTGGGTGCCGATGAAGCTTCGCCCGCAGGCAGCTCCCCCCAGCTGTGTCTGCTCTGCCAAGCTGTCCGAGGCAGCCTCCATGGTATGTGGCCGCCCATCTCTAGTGCACGCAGCATAGGGTCTTCCTGGCGCTTCCACATACAGCCATGCACCAGCCGCCCACTGCCAGCCACCGCCTGTGCTGTCCTCCATGGCCTCACCGGGTCCACACTGCCGCTGGTCAAGTGTGGCGCACTAGGGGTCTGCACCCATGCAGCCTCAAAGCCCTCCCAGGAGCCCAGGGCCAGCCGTCAGCCCTGTCTGTGAACTGATGAGTGTTATGACCATTCCTCTGTGGTCTGTGCAGATGCTTTCCTGCCTCCTGCAGTCGAGGTGCTCCGACCTTCCCTTACTCCCACAGAACACTCAGGCCAGCCCAGGGCTCCCCTGCCCTGCTGCCCAGAAGGGAGGCTGTGCCAGCTTCAAAGGCAATCATCTGTTCTGGCTGAGCTGGAAGTCCGGGCACTACAGGAGAAAGGGTTGCAGCTGGGTGGTGAGCGTCTTGCTGGGGCTGCCCTCATCCCACCCTTGTGTGCCGGCCCAGCACCAGCTGTTCTGCCCAGCCCCAGGCAGGGTCAGCTCCCACAGGACACCCTGCAGTCCAGCAACCCAGGCACTGCCGCCAGGGGGCCGAAGGCTCGGCACGGTAGGGAGGGAGGGAAGGACGCTGCCCAGGCCCTAGCAGCCTCTGGGCTGAGCTTGCACTCTTGATCTGTCAGGAGGCCCTGTGCCCCCACTGGACAGGCGGTGGGTGGGAGTCATGTCCTCATGGGAGTTGCAGTGGCGTCTCCCAGGACTCGGACGTGCCCACGTGGATGAAGTCTGTGCATCCTGGTGTCCTCAGCCACCAACCATGGCTGTTTCCACAGCGTCTGCACCATGTGGGTGTTGTCATACCTGGGCACGGGCTTGTGGGATGGACGTGTGCAGGTGGGTGTTTCTGGGCGTGGGTGCGTGTGCAGGTAGTCCACACCCTCCTCCGCCCCGTGCCCAGTGCCACGCCTGATTCTTCTGCCTGGCACTTCCTCCACCCGTGTGCCTCTGCACTCCATGCTGCCCCTGCCCTCCTTGGGGTCCCCTCTAGGCTGGGGGTACCTGGGAGCCTTTGGCAGGGCGGGGTTGGCCATGACCACAGCGGCTCCTGGTGCTGGCTAAGTGGAGGCACCATGGTCAGGCTGCTGTGTGCAGGTCCACATTCACTGTAGCTGTTCTAGTCTAGGATTTGTCATGGAAACTGAAAAGGAGAGAGTGGCTGTTGTGGACACAGCTCCCCAAGCCTCGCCGGCCGTGCTGTGCACTGTGCCCGCTGTGGGCAGCATTTCTGGGCAGGTGCTCAGGTGACACAGGGCAGTGCGTGCTCCTGTGGTCATGTCCTTGTGGCTGGGTGGCCCCTGCCTGTTTCTGCCCACGTGCTTGTGTGTCCTGGGGACTTGCTGCTTTTGATTTGCACCTCTGGGCCTGCAGGTCTCGGGTGCCCTGCCTCTCCCCACGCAGCCGCACCTGCTCAGCGTCCTTCCCAGGTGTGGCTGCGCCCCCTTCTTGCGTCCTTGCCTGGCGGGGACCCCATTTCCTCCATGAGGCTGAGCAGAGTCTCAGGGTGGGGTGCTTGCTCAAAGGGAAACATCTCAGCCACCACAGTGGGGAGTGGGCAGCCCTGACCAGCGCCAGCGTGCACCCTGCGCAAGGCTGAGGGGGCTGTGGCAGGCATTGCCGGGACTCAGGATGCCCTGGTGGTGGTGAGGGGCGGCGTGTGGTGGGGAAGCAAGTGTTCGTGTGTTTTCCCCCAGTGTCTGGGCTGGTGCTTGGGGAACAGAGCCTGAGGGCCTCGGGCTAATCTCCCAGCCAGGCACATCCCTGCCCCGAAGGCTGAGGCTGAGGGTCTGCAGGCGCTTAGCCGGTGTGCTTTCTCCTCGCTGCAGGTCCTGAATGAGGCCGTGGGGGCCCTGATGTACCACACCATCACACTCACCAGGGAGGACCTGGAGAAGTTCAAAGCCCTGCGCATCATAGTCCGGATCGGCAGTGGTTTTGACAACATTGACATCAAGTCGGCCGGGGATTTAGGTAGGCCGTCTCCGAGTTCTCTCCTGTGCCCATTCGTGCGAGCTCTGTCAGGCTTGCTGCTTCCATGGAGGCTTCGCTGCCACATCGAGGACCCCGCTGCATGTCACTGGGTGGCAGTGGCTTGTGGTCCCGTCAAGGGCCAGTGTGAGGTTGCAGCCATTCTGTTCCTCACAGAGCCTCATCTGCAGGCACATGCTCTCGTGGGCAGCAGGAAATCCAGCTGCAGCTTCACACGCGTGCAGCTGCTGCCATGTGGGTCTGTGTGCATATGGGGCTGGTGCCCCTTCCTGGGGTACCAGGGCCCTGGGGGTGAGGGGCAGGGGTGTCAATGTATGGCTATAATAGGCTCATAGGTTTCTGTCCCAAGACACGGCGGGAACGGCGGTGTGTGTCACAGCCCAGTACACGTGCACACGTGCATGGAACACACACACACGTCTGCACCGTGCACACACACATCAGAACAAACTCGGGGAGCAGTGCTCGGCCGTTCTGCATGGAGTGCACGTTCCGTTTTCTGCCGTGCCCAGTCTGTTTTTTCTCTTCCTCTGCTGGTAACAGATGAGGTCATATCTTGTTGGTACCCACGGTTGGCCAGATCACGGCGGGGTTTTGCCTCCCTCTTCCTAGGATGCAGCTTTTGGCCTTGTAAAGTCAGAATGGCTTGTGTTCCTGCAGGAAACGCAGGTGGTGTTGGAAGCCATGCTTCCTGTTCAGGGGTTTCCTCCCGTGTTGGCTTGAGCTGCTTTGCCGACACACGTGGGCCAAAGCCGCGTGCAGCCCCGTCCTGCCTGGGTCTCTGTGGGCGGTGTCCCGGGAAGGGCTGGCCGTGCTGTCGGGCGCAGGCCTGGGTGCTTTCTGAGCAGCCCCATCTCCCTTGTCCTTGGAGTTTTCCAGGCCAGGGCTCTGCTTTTCAGCCAGGGATCGTCTGGGGGCATCCCTGGGATCTGGCTGCCCTCAGGAGGCCTTTGTTCCAGTCTTGTGCCTGGCTTGGTTCTCTTCCGTTGCTTAACATTTTTACATCCAAGTGAGTTGTGTCTGGGGGCTTTCGGGATCCCGCCCTTGGCCTCGTACAGCCCCTGCTCATGCCTCCCCACGTCAGGCCCCACCTGGCCCTTGGGACCACTTGTGGAACCACGTGGTCCTGTCCAGCCTCTGGGCATGAGTGCAGCTCTGTCTGGGCGCCCTGCTCCTCCTCCTCGCCAGGGAGATGGACGGCCAGTTAGATGCAGGGCCAGTTGGACGCAGGAGTGTGACCACCCGAATGGGGTAGGAAGTGCAGAGCCGGGCCGGGCGGGGTGCTGGCCAGGGAAGGGGCTGCCTCTGGGTATGAGGCCAGGAGAGTGGAGTAGGGGTCACATGGAGGACGTCACACAGCAGGCACTCATGGGTGTGCCCGGCTTAGCTATTTGGGAGAAATGGGATGGATTCGCTTTCCAGGAATGGCTCCAGCTTCGGTGTTACTGACTGCAGGGTGTGGGGCATGGAGGGTGGAAGGGGCTGCAGGGGCTCCACTTGGCCTGGGGGAGCCCTAAGGACACGTGCAGATGTCCATGTATGTGTGCTGGTGGGCCAGCACCCAGATTCTGACGTGGCCGCAGCTTCCCAGGGAGGAATTGGGGCAGTGGTGGTCCTGGGCTTCCAGTGCTGAGTTGGGAGGGGTCAGGACAGCGTCTCCACCTCAGCCCCAGCACACAGGAGCTGGGGCCTCGTGAACCTTAAGTGGAGGTGGGGCTTGGGCCACAGCGCGCAGGGGCCTGGCTGGTTACTCTGCCACCCCCTGTGAGACGCGCTTGTTCCATAGTCTCCCAGGGTGGCCTTGGGGACATGTCCTTTGGCATCTTCCTTGGGAAGCTTCACACCTGCTCCGGCCCCGGCGGCCCTGGTGTCCTCCCGGGGGCTGGGCCTGGTCCGGGGGTGACTGCCGTGTCCTTGTCCCCATAGGCATCGCCGTCTGCAACGTGCCTGCAGCGTCCGTGGAGGAGACAGCCGACTCGACGCTGTGCCACATCCTGAACCTGTACCGGCGGGCCACCTGGCTGCACCAGGCATTGCGGGAGGGCACGCGAGTCCAGAGCGTGGAGCAGATCCGAGAGGTGGCGTCCGGCGCCGCCAGGATCCGTGGGGAGACCTTGGGCATCATTGGACTCGGTGCGTCGGCCACAGTTCCGTGCCTGTGCCCCCTCCCAGCGTCTGGCACTGCCATTCTTCAGCCATGCCTAGGAGGACAGGCCCAGGGCTGGGTGGGGCTGCGGGTGTCGGTCCCAACCCAGGACAGGACTGAGTGTGCACAGCCCAGGCACCGGGTCCCAGGAATCCCAGGCTGTGTGCCCTACACACACAGACATCAGAGCACACACATGGGCATCACACGGGCTTGCACACGTGTCACGTGGACGTCACCACACACAGCCTCACATGGGCACACATAGACATCACACACAGATGTCACAGCACACACAGCCTCACACAGACATCATAGCACGTGTCACATAGCACACAGTCATCACGTGGACGTCACAGCTATCACACGGCACACGGGCATCACACGTGGACATCACAGCACAGCTATCACACGGCACACAGGCATCACACATGGATGTCACAGCACACACATGACCTCACGGGGACATACAGATGTCACAGCACACACAGCTATCACACGGCACACAGGCATCACACCTGGATGTCACAGCACATAGCTATCACACGGCATGCAGGGGCATCACACGTGGACGTCACAACATGCACATAACGTCACGGGGACATACAGATGCCAGAGCACACACACAGCTATCACACGGCACACAGGGGCATCACACATGACCTCACGGGGACACATTGTTGTCAGTTGTGAGCACATACGCAGCTAGACACGGACATACATGTGGGCACACACGTCAGCCACGGTCTGGCATCTGCTCACCCTTCAAGGTCCCTGGAGCTGGCTGTGTGGGCTCTGCTCGGGCGGGGCCGCCTCTGCCGTTACCAGTAGCTCCCCCTGCTGCTGGCCCTGGTCCCATGGAGTGGCTTGACCCCGTGTTCCCTCACTCTTGATTTGCCACTCACTCTGCAGCCGCCTGTCCTGGGCCCAGCGCTGTCCTGGGTCTGGTGCGCAGCAGGCCCCACATAGCCAGGCCCAGGTTGAGCTCAGACCAGCAGGCGTGTGCGTGTGCCTGTCTGTGTCTATGTGTGTCTGTGAGATTCTGGGAGTAGAGTCATGTCTTGAAGGAAAGTAGAGCTGAGAGAGGGCAGGTGTGGGGAGCCCCATAAAGGAGGGAGGAGAATCTGGGCTGGGCCCAGGTGTGGGCTGGGAAGATGCTCCCTTAGAGGGTTCATGGAGAGGGTTGGGGGGGTCCCTTTTCTGAAGACCCCCTGGACACTGTGGCCCAGGTAACTGTCTCCCCAGGAGGCCCCATGGGGATGTGAGGACCAGGGACTCCCCTTGACCAGCCGGCCCCCCGCTTCCCAAACATCCAGACAGCCCACCCCTGCTGGCTTGTGTCCTTGTCCCACCAGCATGTGAGGAACAGGGACATGTTGGGTGGTCTTGGTGAGGACAACATACCTCAACCAGCGGAAGAGGTTGGCTCACAGATGTGCACGGAACATGTTTGTCTCTTCCTAGACACAGCTCTCATGGCCTTGCTGGTGCCCCCACCAGGACCCCAGGGCTGGTTGGAGCCTCTGAGGACCCTGGAACGCTGAGGTGCCCGTCTCTTATACCTCTGCTCGTCTGAGGCCTGGGCGACTCCGCCCATGCCAGGGCCATGGCACACGTGTGTGGAGGGGAGGCAGGAGGAGGCGCAGGAAGCCCAGGTGTTGGGCAGAGGCCGGGAGGGCCAGGAGATCAGGGCTCCTTGAGCTGCCTGCCAACCCTGTGCAGAGTCAGTGCCTGGGCTGTCTCCAGAGCAAGCCCGTGGGACGGGGGCCTCGTGTGTCCCTTGCCTGCAGGGCACCGCCTGCCCTGCAGCCACAGGTCTGACGCCTCACCTGGGGTGAACGAGGGACTAGGGGGTTTGGGAAGGTGTGGGCTGTCTGTGTTTGGTGGGGGTGTCTGTAGTTCCCCTGGTAAGAGCAGGTGGGTGTGTTGCCTTTGGAGTTCTGTGTCCTTTCTCTCCTGGGGTCAGGGTCTGTGGTCCCAGCCCTGAAGGCCCCAGGCCCTTCCTGTGGCCACTCTGAGTCCTGAGGGTGGCACCTGCCTAGGCTGAGCGTGGAGCTCGGCCAAGCCTGCCCATCTCACAGCCCCATGCTGAGTGGGGGTTGAAGCACCTGGTCGGGGTGCTTCAGAGGGCAGGGCTGTGGCCACCCCTTTCCTTGAGGACCCCGCCTGCTGAGGCCCCCACCCAGGCCTGACCTGAGGAGTGTTGGTAGGGACTTCGGGGTGGGTCCTGGCATCCTGGGGAGTGCAGGGTGGACCTGGCAGGTTGGGGGATTGGCCATGGGCATTCTCCCCTGCATTGGCCCAGGTCATCCTGTGGGCCCTCAGGCAGGCACCTCTAGAGCCGCTGGGGTTGGTCCTGGGGTGCAGCTGCTTCCCTCCCTCGGCACAGCCCCTCTGCGTGTGGTGCTCTCATGGTGACCCAGGCCAGGCCAGAGCTCCCTTGGCCACAGGACCAGAGGAGAGTGGTTCCGTCCTCTAGGGACACAAGCCCGCGGATGCTGCAGCCTCCACCTCGTGGACAGGGACCCCCACCCCACCCCGGCCACCTACCTGGCACCTTTGACCACAGAGCACCTGCAGCCCGCACACAGCCCCTTGCCTTTGTCCCTGAGCCCCATCCCCGCCCTCCTCGGGAGCGCCTTGTGCTCCAGGCAGGGCCAGTGCTGGTCACCAGCCACCCAGGCCCTCCCAGGGTCTGCATGCCGCCGTCTGCCCTCCGCCGTGCACGCCTGTGTCTAGGTGGTTCTCAGCATGGAGTCCACTCTTGTCCTGACTACAGGAAGGCTGAAGCCCTGGGCGGCGTGTGGTTCACAGTGTTGGCACCACTCAGCATAGGCGAGGGGGGCGGCCGCTTCCTCTGCTCTGTGAGGCTTTGGTGCCCATGACTTACATCTCCTTCTGGCTCTTTTCCTCCCTCCCTTCTGAAAAATGCACTATCTTATGTACACACAGGAAAACGTGGTACACCCAAGAACTCCCGCCCGAAGTCCGTCTGCAGAGCAGGCTCCTACATCACGCACCCCCTGAGGCCCCCTTCTGCCGCAGTTGCCCCGTGATGACCCAGGTCCTGCTTCCTGGAGCAGGGGCCTCCCCCAGCTCTGCTGAGGTGCCCGCCTCCTGTTGATCGGGGTGGTGACCTGGGTCTTGTCTGTGTTTTTGCATGACCCAACGGTTCCTTCCTGACGACGGTTCCATCACATGGACCCAGCATGATTCCCTTGTCCAGACTCTCGGTGATGAATTTTCTAAGTTTGTGGCCAGAATATCACAAAACTTCTGTGAGCACATTTCTCTTGGATTTGTTCCTTGGAGTGGAATTTTTGCGTCCCAGAGCAGGACGTGGCTTCTCGCTCAGGCAGCTGCGTCCTCGCCAGCACTCTGTGTTGTGGTCTGTGTAATTCTAGCCACTCCAGCAGGCATTTCGTGGTATTTTCATCTTAAACTGCAGTTTCCTGATAACCAAGGAGGCCAAGCACCTTTTCCTGCCCTTACTGGCCACTGGCAGTGCCTGTGTTATGAAGCACAGAGCCCTTCACAGCTTTCCTTGTGTTTTCTGCTGTGGTCTTTTCCGTGTAGCTTACGAAGCCCTCACGTGATCTGTGTCATTCTCGTCAGATCGATATGCACCGTGGATATTTTCATAATTTCAAAATGTTTGTTTTTAAATATTTCCCAGTATCTCAGGCCACGGCTTAACGTCTCGCTTTCTTGGCGTCCCTGCAACGAGAACACGTTTTCAATTCTGATGAAGCCCACTGTATCACCTGTTGATTTTTACATGAATGTCTTTTGTGTTGTGAGGAATCTCGCATGGTCATGCAGGTGCTCTGTGTTTTCTTCTGGAAGCTTTTACCTCTGGATCCAGGGTCTTCTGGGTTGCCACTCACGCGTGATGTGAGGCTGGGGTTGTGGTCTGCCCTTTCCCAGGATGGCAGGTCACTGCAGCACATGTGGGGTCTCCTTCCCCTTGGCTTGTTTGTGCAAAGGCAGCTGGTCACATGTGAGTGGGTCCGCCTGGACACTTCTGTTCCGTTGATCTGTTTCTCTTCCCTGTCTCCTGTACCACACAGTCCACACGGCAGTGAGCCTGGAGGTCTGGCAGGCGGTGTTCCCTGTCTCCTGTGCCACGCCGTCCACACGGCAGTGAGCCTGGAGATCTGGCAGGCGGCGTTCCTTGTCCCCTGTGCCACGCCGTCCACACGGCAGTGAGCCTGAAGGTCTGGCAGGCGGTATTCCCTGTCCCCTGTGCCACGCCGTCCACGTTCCCTGTCCCCTATGCCACACTGTCCACACAGCAGTGAGCCTGGAGATCTGGCAGACGGCATTCCCTGTCCCCTGTGCCACGCCGTCCACACGGCAGTGAGCCTGGAGGTCTGGCAGGCGGCGTTCCCTGTCCCC